CAGCAGGCTAATCTAGAGAAAAAAAAATCTGTAAGTAAAAGGCTAAAGGAGTCCGGTAACCTCAGTGACTCAAAGCCTGCCTCATCTCCAAGTACTGCTTCTGAAAGGAACACATACCGTGTTTATAAAATAACACATAAAAAAAAAGAGCAACATATTCTTGGTCCCATGGTTTTTCTCAGAGAATCCACATCTCTCTAATCACAGAGGACTCCCTCTCAGGCATTACCAAAGGAATGGAAAGAGGGCTCTCTGAGAGCGCTAAATCTCAGCTGAGAAGAGTCTGAGCTGACATCAGGGCTCTGCGGGAAGCTGCTACCTCAGCTCCTTGCTGCCCTGTCAAATACTGCACTTTGTTTTCAAGGCTCTAAACTTAGGGGGAGTCAGCTGGGGTGGAGAACACTGGGCCCATCTTATTCCTTCCCACAGAATCTTCACACCAATGTGGCCAGCTGGTGGTGGCTCTGAGGGCCTCCAAGGGAAGTAACTCATTGGAAGCCTCCATTCCCATGGAAACTGCCTCAGTCCTCATAGTAGGACCCTCCATCTGCCCCAGTGAAACAGGCCTGGGAAGGGCTCAATGACTGGCATCTAAAAACCAGAGTCCTCTTTCTGTCTGTGTTGCTACTCAACTTGTGGACTCAGGGCCAAACTATTACCATATCTGGACTTCAGGTTCACCATCTGCAGTGAGAGAATTATACTCTTATTCTTAATATTCTAAGGGGAGGTTTTGAAACTAAGTATCACAGGCATGAGTGCATTTGGAATAAAATACACAAATTATTCAAATGCGTACTTCTAACTGCATTAATATGGTTTAGATTTAAGAAGTCCATGGGACTAGCAGGTGGTGTGGTGGTTAAGGCGCTGGACACTCCCACATGGCTGACCATGGTTCAAGTCCCAGACCTGGTGGGTTGCTTTCTCACTTTCTCTCTCTCTCTGTCTCTCTTGCTCAAATTAAAATAAACAAATGAATAAGTAAAATTAAATAAAGTAATTCTTCAACTAAAAAAGAATTAAGAAGCCCATCCCCTTCCTACCCACTCAGATTCTTAGTTTTTAAAGAATGTAACAGCTTTAAACACTGCTGATAAAGAAAGGTCAGCGGTGTTCAAAGCCTTTTAAGGAATTGGGAACCAGCAGCTAGCGTAATGGCTATGTTGCTGGACTCCCACTTGGTTGACCGCGGTTCGGATCCCGGACCCGGTGGCTTAAAATTCACGCCGGGTGCGTGTGCGTGCGTGCCCAAGATCCCGAGAGGAGAATGGAGGAGAAGGGATTGCGGCGTGGCCATCCCCCCTGGGGGGGTGATTTCTCGCTTTCTCTCTGTGTCTCTCTCGCCCCCCCTTTAAGAAAAAACCCCTCAAAAAAAAAAAAAAAAAAAAAAAAAAAAGCCTTTTAAGAAGCTGGCCTGTCACTAAGTTAGGTAGGAGGCTGAAAGCCAGAGTGTAGGACAGAGCTATCTGACACAAATACCACCAAAGGTACCCATTTATTCACATATTTATCACATCCCTATATGTGCTTGTTACTGCGTAAGGCCCTGGTTGCAAAGAAAAGTAAAACTCATCCCTTACTCAAAGAACGCTCTCTAGAGCAGAGATTAATCTGGTTGGACTGCAAACAGGCAATTAAGGTGACAGATGTCCTGATTTGGGTTCAGGTAAAAATGTATTTGTAGGGCTGGCAGGTGGTGTGGTGGTTAAAGGCGGTGAATTCCCACATGGCTGACTGTGATTCGAGTCCTGAACTTGGTGAATTGTTTTCCCAGTTCCCCTTTCTCTCTCTGGTCAAATAAAAATAGTAACAAATAGAATTAATTAAATAAATAATTCTTAAAAAAAATACATTTGTAACACTGCCCCTGGTAAAGTGGGAAGTAGTGCAGGTTACAAGCTGATGACAAAATGAAAAGCAATTCTGTCAACTTCAAAGTGAAGGGCTAGGTTGGAACCAACAAACTGAGAATCCCTCACATGCAAGGGACTTTACATCTTCTCATTCTGTCTACGTCATAATTACCACCAACACAGTCAAGTGTTATCTTCAGTTTACAGGGGAGGGGCAAGAGGCCAAGCTAAAACCCAGAGCTGTCGGGTTGCAAAGTCTGTGCTCTCTCCACTACATTGTGCTGCTTACTGGAAAGGCCAGGACTAGTCTTTTTCTTTTTTTCTTTTTTGTCTTTTTTTGGAGAGGTTTCTGCTATAGGGCGTGTGTGCTCGCCAGACAGACAGAGACATAGAGACAGAAAGTGAGAAATCAACCCCCGGGGGGATGGTCACACCGCAATCCCTTCTCCTCCATTCTCCTCTTGGGATCTTGGGCACGCATGCACACGCGCCCGGCTTGAGTTTTAAGCCACCGGGTCCGGGATATGAACTGTGGTTGACTACGTGGGAGTCCAGCGATACAGCCATTACGCTAACTGCTGGTTCCCAGTCTTTTTAAAAAAATTATTAAAATGTAGCTACATACCCTGCCCCAATCACCTATCATCCACGGTGGGTGACTACCCTGAATCATGAATGGATTAAATGTGAGTCAGAGAGTGTGCCAACCCCCTTTGACCTATGCTGTGAATCATATGATCCTTTCAATTCATGCCTATGTCTGTCACAGATGATTAAATTGCTATTTTCTCTATGTAAGCATAAGAAGGCCACCATTCCCATTTCATGTAATTTAGCTGGCTCCTCTCTTTCTTTAGAACTGGAATTGAAGTTTTACCAGCTCAAGCTTTCACTGCTTTTAGATCAATATTTCCCATATGGAATGGCAGTCCACAATCTTACCTCACCTTAGACAATCTGAGCTCCTAAGAAAGCCTGCACCTCAGACTCTGTACCCTGGCACTTGGCTCACAATGGGTGCTCTCTGTGTGTACACCGAATGCATGCATCCCAAACATCAAGTTCATTTGAACTCCCTGGAGTCCACTGCACTGTTAATGCTCATGTGAGTAAGTTATCATCTTTTAAAAACGTTCTTACCTCTTTTTCTAAATAAACCTTTTTATCGTCCAAGGTATTATATAAAGTGAAGAACTGCTTGGTTTCTTTGTGCACTGCTGAAACTGTAAATGCAAAGACATCAGCACATGAACAAAAACAGGCATCAAGTGACCCAAGCCTCCTCTCCTGCACACAACACACCTCCAGGACAGGGCTGGGTGCTCACCCTCTGTGAAACTGTCACGTGCAGACAGAATCACCTGCATTTAGAAATTTTAAAAACCTTTAAAATGTTTTACGACCAATTAAATGAGAATGTCTGCAAGTGAGACCCAGGTGGCAATGTTAACCAATGCTGAAAATCCCTGCCATAGATGAACCAGTCACTCTTACCCAGTTTGGCTCAGAACTGGGTAAGGGTTGCACATATGTGATGGTGATGGTGGTGGTGGTGGTGGTGGTGGTGATAAACTGATATAGGTATTTTGGTGCAAATGCTAGAAAATGGTATTAAAATGTTATGAAAATACTTTAACGTATGTAAAATTTACTCTGTGAAATATACAGATAAAAGGTATTATTATTGCTAAGAAATTCCAAGAAAGGAGTAGTAGAAACTAAAGGAACAGATACAATTTAAGGCAGAAACTATCTTCCATTGAACATTGTCATTGCTGATACATGCCTCTGATTCTTTGAGTCAAATGTGACACTGGCTAAAACATTGGCTGCTAGGCTAAAATGTTTAAAAGGAGGCGTAAGGTACACTCCTCAGGTCTGAACCAGGGAGGATGCTTGCCTTCAAGGCAAAACCAGAGAGGAACTTTGAAATGCCAAGTGGGAATTGTGGCGCAGTGGCATTCTGAACTTGGGGACTGGCTCACAGGCCAACATGTTGGATGGGGTAGGGCACCGAATACTTGCACAGGGAGCTGGACAGAGAAGCAGGTCCAGAAGATGCATGGCTTTGTACACTGAATTTAGGATTCTGAAGACTGAGAGTAGCTATTAAATATCAAAGCTTTCAGAATAGGAAGTAAAATAATCAAATTTATGTTTGAGAAAGATTTCTGAGACTAGAGAGTAGAGGAAGAAGGAATTCTGAGCAGTGACAAAAGGTGGTTATGGCAGCAGTCCAGATAAAATGAACTTGAAAACTACTAAGAATCAGAGGTGGCGAGTGGCATGAATTAGGGTTGATGGTCCTGCTTGACTACCGGAACATGGTGGAAGGAGGCTCCTGACACTGGGAAGAATCCCAGGGATCATCGGAAGAAAGAGGCTTTAGTCAGTGGGTCTTGGAGAGCTCCTGAAGATTTGTCAACAGAGAGAGAAGTGACATAATCGGATGCGTAGAGAGAAACCTGTAGGCCAGCTACCATTCATTCAGGTGAGATGTGATGCAAACAAGAACAGATATAGTAAGAGCGGCAAAAACAGAAAGGCAAAGACATGCCTGGGTCTGAAAACATGTGGTCAGTGCTTCAGGCTGAGGGAGACCAGGTCCTGAACCACTGGGTGTATGTGATGCGGTTCAAGGTAAGGATCATCTCAACAGAAAAGTCTGTAGAGAACAAGAAATGTGAACTGAGCTATACCACGTTCCACGTGAAGCTGGAAAGCGGAGTAGAAGCTCAGGGGAAGGGCACGTGGCCTACCAGGATGAGGATGGTGATGGTTCAAAGCATTCTCTAAGAGCTCAATTAACTGGCTTAAGTGCTCTGTCCAGAGACGGCAGGGAGAGCACTGCAGTGCTGCTCCGAAATGGCTGAGCAGGACTGATAGCTAAGTGGTGCTCTTCCTGAGGGTAGCATCCACGGACTGCACACTGCTGCACAAGCCACATGTTAAAGTGGGACAGGGCCCCCAACCTCTAGAGTGTGCTTGTGGTCAATGCACCTACTCTGGCGGTAGAGTTCAATAAATCTCTTCTGATACTGTATTAGCTCGGCTCGGCTGGGGACCTCATCAATCTTGCGGTGCAAAATGGCTATTTCTCGATTTCTTCGAGCCTAAGTTCAAAAGAAAAGATAATTATTATTTGAAAAAAGGCCTTATAGGTTTTCTGCAGAGCCAAAATATCACCCTCACCCCCACCAGAGCTCAACCACATGCCTTGAAGTGCAGACATAAAGCTCTGCCATTGCCAGGAGGCCCCATCTCAGATTTTGAAGGACCTTCTCACTTTCCAACATGTGGGAAGAGGTGCCGCTGTGAACTAACTCATGGGAGGCATTAAATGAACAGACCAGAAAGGAAGATTCTGACTGGGGAGGCTGTGGACAGACAGAGCCTCCCCTTGGCCCCTATCCCTAAGGGCTCCAGAGCAGCAAGTGGGGACCAGCAATGTAAGGAAGGCTTCTCAGATGCTGGAAATTCATGCTTCTCTGCTGCCTTGACACATGTTCCAGCTTTCCACCTGGATGAACAGCTCCTACAATTTACTCCTCAAAAGATTTCTAGGGAACCAGCAGTTAGCGTAATGGCTAGGTTGCTGGACTCCCACATAGTCGACCGCGGTTCGCGTCCCGGACCGGTGGCTTAAAACTCACGCTGGGCACGTGTGCGTGTGTGCCCAAGATCCTGAGAGGAGAATGGAGGAGAAGGGATTGCGGTATGGCCATACCCCCTGGGGGGTGATTTCTCACTTTCTGTCTCTATGTCTCTCTCTGTCTGTCTGGTGAGCGCACATGCCCTATAGCAAAAACCTCTAATAAATAAATAAATAAATAAATAAATAAAAGATTTCTAGCATTTTCTCTCTTCCACAAACTGGGGAGACTTCCCTCCTGTGTCTGGGAGGTGGTGTGGCGTGGCACAGGCGCTGCCACACCTTGCTGTCACCATGCATGATGGAGGAGGACGAGGTGGACTCGCAGTGCTGTCGTCTGTGCCTTCATCCCTCCCATCTCCACGTCCTCCCACGCTCTGGCCTGTTTCGCTCACACAGCAGCAGATGTTGACCTCTAACTGGGAAATACAAGCCTCCAGGTGGGAAACCCACCACCAACTCTGCAACCAAACCCAAAACAGGGTCTCTGCAACTCTGGTTGGAGGGAGTAAGGTTTTTCTCTTTTACTCAGGCTATGCTCCTTGCAGGTACTCAAACTCTGATTCATAATTTTTCTTCTAGTACTTTTGGGACACAACTGTTCCCTCAACCTTTCCCTATCTACTGGGTCCTTCTCATCAGTATTTAAACATGTTCAAGTCCCTCACTCCTCAAAAAGTCCCTTTTTAAAACATCACTACTTTTCTGCTACCACCCCTTTCTCTTACCCTTTACAGCCAAACTCACAGAGAGCCAGGCCCTTCAGTGCCTCTCTCTCCTCTTTCCAATCATCCTTTGACCCACTGCAACTAGCCGTATCTTCAACAGCTCACCGACTTGCTCTGCCAAAGGCACCATGGCCCACAGGGTCATGTCCAATGGGTGATCAGCTTTGAGCTTTCCTGATGTCCAGCAGCATTTCCATCCTCTTGTTCCTGCTCTTGCTTTTTCCCTTCGGCTGCTCAATTTCCTTCTCACTGGTGGATTCCTCCTTTTTTCTCTGTCAGACCTTATGCCAAGGATTAGTCCCAGGACCTCCTCTTCATTTCCACAGACTCAGTCATCATCTCCACAATAAAGACACCCAAATCTCCAGCTTGAACTACTCTGAGAGGTGGATCCAACCAGGCAGTCCTTGGGCATTTCGAATTAGTTGAGTACCTCAACTTTCACAAGCCCCAAATAGCTTTAATTAACACTCCTATTCATACTCCCTTAACCCTGTTCCTTCTCTTTTATGCCTTTTCTCAATGAACAACTCAAGTATCTACCTTGCCAGACATTCAACCATCATCCCTCACTCCTTCTTCTCCCATCCAACTGATACTAAATTCCATCAGATTTAGCTCCCCAGTTTCCCCTGCTAGTACATTTCCAGGCAGCCCACCACCACGGCCTGACTCAGGCCCTCAGTAAGCTAGTGTAACTTCTCCCTAGAAGGTCCGACCGAGGCAGTCCTTAGGAGGTGATTAGCGTGTAAGCTCCCTTTTATTTTCAGGTAGAGGGACACATCTTGGCTCTCAAACAGCCAGACAGCTTCCTGAAGATGGGTCAACACCTATTTACTATTTCTGTGATCTAACACCATGCTGAATTATGTAGTAAGCAGTATCAAAAAGTTTCCAAGGACAAAGTTACCATCCTGGTTTTATTTAATGCTGTGTCTTAGCATCGAGGGCAAATCTGCCTCATCCAAATTTAACCACATGACTTAGCAAAATAAGTAGGAGCCAGAGGGGAAACAGGGACTCACTGGCCCCTATGCCCTTTGGCTACTCCCACCTCAGGCCTTTTGCTCCCAAAACACAGAAAGCAGGTCCAAGCCCAAGTGCAACTGTGGCAACTCTTGACCTCTGAGTTTCCATGAGCCATATCCTGGCAATCAATGTAAGGGATTTTAAAATGTAATTTTGACTCTATGTGAATTTAGCTTCAGAGCTGACTTTAAAGCCTCCCTCTCTATAGTTCATGCTACTCTCACAAACAGGACAACTAAGATGAGCACTTGATTTCAGAGGACAAGTAAAAAACTAGACAAGAATACTGCCTCTGGCATTTACCAGCTGCTTGACTCTGGCCAAGTACTTAACCTATCTGCATCAATTTCTTTAAACATAAAAGGAGGCTAATACCTATTCTATCTGGGGTGAAGATCAGCTCTAATAGGTGACCTCACGGGGAAGTCACATGCCAACGTGAGGCGTTACTACCAATACCTAAAACGTCGAGTTACTATCCAGCAGAAAGAAGACTGGTAAACAGTAGCCATATACTTAATCTCTAGTTTTTAGGTACTGAGACTTTCTAGCTCTGTCAGGGGTATTCATAACTAGTTAGATGCACTGAGTTATTTTTTGTTCTTGTTTTAAACTCACCTGTAGTAAACGGATCTTGTAAAGTTTCTCTTTCTCCATATTATATCGTCTGTCTAGATCTTCCTGGAAATTGGAAAAGACCACAATTATCTGAGAATAGAAAACTTTTATTCTTTGATGGTGTCTTGGAAAGTTGCATATGTTTTGACTAAATCTCCCCAATCCTAAATCCTTAAGCTTCTGTTATCAAATGGCCAAGTTTGGGGTCCAGGAAGTACGTCATGTGAGATTCTTGGCACCCTCTCACAACACTTCATAACAACGCTTTCTTCTCCCGAGATCTAGGTTGCATCCATGTTCTTAGGTGAAGAGGCCTCCAAATCTATGTGCCCTTTCCTCAAAATCTACAATGAGGAGACAAATCATTACTTCAAGAATCTGTTGTTCTATGCCTTTATTTGTAGATGATATTATTATTTTTTTCTGCATTTCTATTTAAAGCTGCACTATCCAATATAATAGCCACCTGCCACACATGGCTATTTCAACTTACATGAACTAAAATGAAAAACTAATTCGGTTTCTAGGTTGCACTAGTCATACTTCAAGTGCTCAGTACCACATGCAACTAGTGGCTTTTATATCAAACAGTGCACACACACAACATTGCCATCACTGCGGAAGTTCTTCAGGACAGTGCTAAAACAGAGAACAAAGGGAGAGGGATCCCTCACTGAGCCCAGTGAAGTAACAAACAAGCCTGGATCGTTTCTGCCTAGAGAAAGCTACAAGAGGGGTCAGAGGTGGCCCCTCTCCCCTATGTGTGTACACATACGTTCACACACACAGTCTCCTCCACAGGGCTCAGCTGCAGGCAACAGATTTCACTACAGGAATACTGTAGTTCATTTTTCTAGGAGATTATGAGGGCAAAAAGGAAAAGGATTTGATTTTCCTAATCCTTTTCCTTTACTTTTCTTTCTTGTGGAGGTCTGCTGTACTGCTGGGAGCACTGGCTTCACTCAGAACAGGTGTCTGTAAGCCACAGCTTGTGAGCTAAATTCTACAGACTCTGGGCCACATCTGCCTCTCTACTTTCACAAGTGAAATCTGTTGGCACACAGCTGTGGCCACTCACTGACACACGGACTGTGCTTACTACAGCTGACTTGGGCCACAATGCTGAAAATATTCATTATCTGGCCTTTACAGAAACAGTTTAATGACTCTGACTTTAAAAATACAATATAGGGCTAGCAGGTGGCACGGAGGTTAAGGTGGCTGGATCCCACAGGGCCGACTCCATGGTCTGAGTCCCAGACCAAGTGTCTTGAAAATCACACCAGATGCATATGCATGCAAGCATGTCCAAAACCTTGAGGGGAGAATGGAGAAGGGATTGTGGTGTGGCTGTCCTCCCTGGGGGATGAGTTCTCACTTTCTCTCTTTCCAGGGAATACACATTAAAAGTAAAATATACACACGCACATACACACACACACATGTACACACGCATACACACACACTCTCTCTCCCATATATGTATACACACACACATATATATATTAGGTTGTTGGAAAAGCCATGATATTTTTTTCTATGTCTGTCTATGTGGAAAATGCGTCATGACTTTTCTGACAACGCAATACATACACACGTGCATACATAATATAGACAGAAGCTTTTCCCCTCTGCACTGCCCCAGCCTCTCAGAGCCCAAGGGTTGAAGCCAGTATGGCTGACACAGGTTTCTCCCACTCCCAACTAGAACGCCAGTGTGAAGACAAAATGCCTGCACACTGGATTGGGAGAAAAACTTGCCTGAATGGGGACCTTCAGGGCTGTGGTTGAGGCCTGGCCTCCATCTGAGGGGCCATGGGTGTAAAATGGGATGATGCCCCTGAAAGGTCAGAGATGAGAAGGGGCCATAAAGAACATTAAAGGAAGCTGAGAAGCTCGTGGGAAAGTGCAAAGCTGGCCCCAAACCCTCATGGGAAATACCCGTCTGAGAAGAGGCAAGTACGTACGTCATGAGCCATCACAGAGGTCAGGGCACCATGTGGGTCTCCACTGGGCGGAGTCTGGAAGGATGAAAAATAATCAACACTTCTCCTGAGTAAGGGGGATGAGACAGAAGCTGAGAGCCTCGATGGAGGAAGAGGCCAACGGTGAACAATCAAATGAGGGTATGGAGGAAAATATGTCCGATGCTCAATGAGCGTATCACCAGAGAATCGAAAGGGAGCAAACTGTGTATGGGCCCCAGGTTTTAAACTGATCTTAAATCTCTGTCAGTTACATGTTAACAAGAGAAACTGAGACTCTTTTTGAATCCCTCTAACAAGATGTACTGAGAAGAGAAATGTGATTCTGGAAGTCTGTCTTTTGTGCAAACTCAGAGGCTGACAGAGCTGATGATCTGAGCCTCAAAGATTCAAAGTTTTAGAAACAACTGGAAAGGCAGGTTGTATGCCACTGGCCCCAGGACACCACTGCACTCCTGGGTTCTGTATTCAGTCACATTAACCCTTTCACAGACAGAAAGGACTGTGTGGCCTGGCTAAAATGCAGCAACCAGTTATGGAATGTGGGAGCATCTTCAAAGCCTGTCTCCCGGCTAGGCCTGGCAGGGACTCGTGCAGCCAAAAGCAAATAGTCCAGGAGTAGAGCTGTGCAGTGGTGCCTGCAGACTCTGGTCCTGCTTGACTTGGGCCATTCTCTTCCCCTCCTGAGCCCCAGGTTCCTGTATTTAAAAAGGAGAGGGTGTCATCCATGGCTTCTAAGACCACATCCAGCCCTCACATCTGAAGAACAGAGATCCCAGGAAATTAGCTTTGAATGAAGTGTGAGAAGGGAAAACAAAAACAGAAGCATTTCTAAAGTCTTATTTGGCAAGAGAAATGGACTTTATTTTCCTGACCTTTAGTTTTTAATTTAATGTTTAACAGAAATCCATGCTAGCTCCTTGGAAGATCATGTCCCTTGTTCAGAGAAACAGCTGGTCAGATGTGCCCTTTAAACCCAGGATCCTTCTGTAATCTTGGGCTCTAACATTAAACTCAATATTGCTGTTCTTTTTCATGTTCAGTGTTGTCTTTTGGGGGCATATCCCTAGGTGGCAATTGAGAAGGGTTAAATCAGTAAATTGGGAGAAAATTTAAATAGGCTGAACTCAGAGATCTCCTGCAAACACCTCTTTCTTATCTGGAGGGAGAGTCCAGAGCTGTACAACATAGTAATTCATGCCTGCGGTTGCTGCCTTTCATGCTCACTGCTGCCTTCCACCCTCAGAAGGAAGAGAAAGGAAAAAGGATGGAAATCTAAGAAAATCATGGGAAGAAAACAGAGGAAGAGTGTATATGACCACTGGCTTTGAGCACTGGACTGTTTGCTGGTTAGTTCTCTATAAACTGATTCATGGTATAAGTCCCAACAGCACCTATGGGTCTAAAGGTCCCAATTTATTCTGACACTTTACCTTTTCATGTCTGACTCTCTCAGCTTTCAGGTTTTCAATTTCCTGCTGTAGCCGTGTCATCTCCTCCTTTAAAAGCAATATGAACATTTATAAAATTCAGGCAAACTAGTAATTGGATGCAACTGTTTAATTACTTGATCTAGAAGTCTTATTTTCGTATTTCATGAGTTTATGCTAAGACAAAAAGCCAATTAGAAACTTCTTGCCTTAATTCCCAATTTTTGGCCTGGAAAGTGCTTTGCAAGATACAGACAGCTGCACCTCAGTCAGAAGGGGTCTTTCTTTTTAAGTGGTGAAGAGGTAGGCCATAATCACTAGCAAAGGGAGCAAGCCTCGAACCAGCCACCCTTGACTCCCAGCAGGTCTCAGTCTGGTCCACCTGTCCTCTTCACTTGGGGGCCCTGACTTGCAAGTCCTCCCTCCACCTGCCATCATCTCTTGCCCTTAAGTAAGATCTGTCCTCCTGATGTCTCCTGCCTTGGGTAGCCTTTCCCATCCTGAACCTCACCCAGAGCTCCCTGACCTCATTTCGTTCCTTTTGCTAAAGTCACCTGCACCCCAGGACTAGACTGCAAGCTCTCAGATGGCAGGGATCAGGCGTATATGTAAGCATCCCAGATGTTCAGGACATCCCCGGTTTCATGTGATGTCATTCTTTGCACAAAGGCCTTCTTTTAAATGATGTATTTTAAATAAACATTGCAAGACTTTTCTTCCAAATGTAATAGATTTGTGAATTATATAACCTTATTTATTGGACAATATTCTCAGTTGGAGGTTTGCAGACAGCTACTAGCCTAACTCATGTCTGGCATCCTTGAAGGTGCCAACCACAGTGCTATTCATCCTTCACAGAGGACACATACCGCGTGATGCATCTACTGTTTGAACTGCACTTGGATGTGAGGCCACAATAGGACCAGGGGAGGTAAACCAAGAGATCTCACAAGAGTCCCAGTTTATTCACTAACACCAAACAACACTTACTCGACAATGTGCTTTAAACTCCTGTTCTTGACTTTTCAGATTTTCATTCATGGCTACAAGTGCTCTCAAGTTAAGCAGAATACTGAAAAGACAAAAAAAAAAACAAAACGGCAAGCCATTATAATTTCATGAATCACAGCTAAAACCAGATCCCCAACTAAAAAATGGGCTTCCTTTTTAACCTCCTTTGTCTCCCTCAAGAGCATCTAATGGGTTCTTAACAAATGATGACTTCCATTTAATTGACATTATTATTCATTTATCCACTCAAGACCACCAGGCTGAATCCAAACAAACATTACAGATTTCAGAATTAAAGTGTCAAATGTAGAAACATCGATGAGTTTCCACAATACTGGATATACTTAATGATACCAATTATTTGACTGTACTCAGGGCATAGACAGTATTGAAAACCATTTTTAATATCCATTCTGAAAAGGAAACAAGTTGCTTATGGCTATTAAAAGCACTAATTTGGAAATAAAAAATGTCAAATATATGACAGCATTTTGCTCTTTTAAAAAGTTTTTCAAATTATATAGCCAAGTAATCTGTGGTTTTTTGCTAAAAATGTCCATAGAATAAGAACTGCTCAATCTGTGCCTGAAACTTAGTGATTTCACAACATCATTCATACAAGTGACAGCTATGAGATTTTACCACACAAACTGTGTAGAGTTAAAGCGGTCAAATTTAAATGCTTTCTCTCCTTTAAAGATAATTTATTTTACATGAGGGGGGAAAAAAAGATCAAATGCTATGCTAGTATGCCTTGGCAAAAATGCACCTCTGCTCCCAAGGAGACATGGGTAAAACGTATGTTGTTAAAGAACTGGTAACAGTGGCAGACTCCAGGCAGGAAACAGTGTGGCTGTGGACAGAAGTGGGAGGAAGACTTTTCTCCATGTTCCTACTTGTGCTGTGAAGGTTTTTAAACATAGAAAAACAAACAAACAAAACACCATGTTGCTTCTGAATGCAAGGGGAACTGGGAAAAAGGGGGCCAGTGCTGACCTGCCCAAGCATAATGCAGGGCACGCCTGAGCAAGAGTCCCTGCTTTCTGGATAAATGTGTGAAATTAACTGACCTGCTAAGAGCCACAACTGATGACCTGTGGCTGCTGTGTCCTGAGCTCAAACAAATGAAGCCACCAGGTACTGGCAAGTTATTTCTTCAAAAGGGAATAAATGCATGCCGAGGCCTCTTACCTTGGATCAGCTTTGGATTCTATCTTCTCGAGGGCTGCTTGCTCTTTGTCCAGTTTCTCACTATAACTCTTCAGCTGCAGGAGAGAACGGAGGCATCGTTGCTAGGGCCTTGGCAGAATAGTAGAGCGAGTGTTTCCACTTTCTTTCCCCCTCGTTCACACCTGTACCCTACTTCTGACAGATGTCCAAGCCCACTGGATTTGGCTGTACACTGAGGAAATAGATGGACCACAGAAATGGGATGGGGGTAGAGAGGTGACACGAAAGGTCAAACACAGACAGACCCCTCCAGACACAGCCTGCTGCTTAAAGAAACCTAGACAATGACTTTAAATAACAGCAGGGAATAGATGAAAAGCCGGAAGTAAAGCTGAGAGCCAATACCTTTTAGTAGCAAGGGGGAAATAAAGAATGGCTGTGAGAGAGACCTGGGTTTAAATCTCAGGATATTACTACCACGGCTGTGAACAAGTAAGATTTTCTTGCTTCTTAAACAATATCCTCTTCTTTTTCTGAGGCAGATAATGAGGTATTTTTTCCCCTCATGACTGTGTGTGTGGGAGGGTGTGCATGTGTACATGGGAGAGAGACAGAGAGAGAAGCACCACTGAGTGTCCCATCATGCTCCAAGCCCCTTCTCTTAGGCCTCTGGCTTGTAAAGCTCCTGGGCATATAAAGTGAGTGCTTTTTCGGTCTGATCCAGCGATCTGAACTTGCCATTGGCCATCTGATTTCCAGCGCGGTGGTCCATTTTGCTACAGACTGGGCTATGAGGTTTTCTTAAAGGGAACTTTAGGGTCAGCCCTTTATAGTGTGGTGGTTAAGTGCTGTGCATTGGTAACTGGACCCCTGTGGCTGACTGTGGTTCAAATCCTGGCCCCAGTGGCTTGAGAACCACCCCAGGTATGTATGCGAGTGTGCCCAAATTCTGACAGGAAGGAGAAAAGATGAAAAGAGATTGCATATGACCATACCCCACTGGGGGGAGAACTTTCACTCTCCTTTCTCTTTCTCTCTCTCTCCCCTCTCTCTGATGCACATGCACATGCTCTCTGATAATTCAAAAAAAAAAAAAAAAAAGCATCAAGCAAGCAAGCAAGATGAATGAACCTCCAAAGAAACTTAGGTTTTAATGTATAAAGTGTGCAGTTGCATTTCATAACAAAATACAAGGGTGCTATTTAAAATCAAGTATAGGGGCCAGGTGATGTTGCAGTTATATCACTGGACTCCCACATGGTTGTCTGTGGTTCAAGTCCCAGACCCAGTGGCTTGAAACTCATGCCAGGCACGTGTGCATGCATGCCCAAGATCTTGGGAGAAGAATGTGGTCATCCCCTCTATGGGGATGATTTCTCACTTTCCCTCTGGCTGTCTCTGTCTCTCTCTGGCAAGTACAAACGTCTAAAGGCAAAAACCTCTTCCAAAAATAAATAAGTGTAAAGTAGCTCTCTTATAACGATATCTAGTATCTATTGCTGGATAAAGAAACAAGGTGTAAAACCATAAGCATTGTAAGCTTCCACTGTGTACTAAGGAATGTATACCCTGAATGCATACATGTATAAGAGAATACAGAAGTAATTGCTTGTATATTCATAATGTATTTCTGAAAGGATTAAAATTAAACTGGTTATATAGCTGCCTCTGGAGAGGGTAATTGGATGACTAGGTGACCAGGATGCATCCTTTTTGCATTTTGAACCTTATAAATGTGTTACCTATTAAAAAAGGAAAGTAAAAATTTAAAAATTTTCTAAGAGTTCTAGTTGAAAATGGCAGATCTGGTACAAGTTGCATGAACCCCTCCTTGCCCCACCTCTTCCCCAGATCCAGACTATTAACCAGTAGTGGGTTACCCTCACAGACTGCCAGTGGATGGAAATGGGCTGAGGCTGCTGAGTGGAGGCAGCAGACAGAAGGCCTGTTTTGCTGGGTTGGGAACCTGCATTAGAAACAGCCAGATGAGCTAAGCATAAAGCCGTGCTGGTGAAGTCTCAGAGGCTGAGTAGATTCCCAGATAGCTGGCAATGGAGAATAGAAAAAATGGGGAGTTCCCAGACTCAGAATATTGGCTGCCATGGCTGATCACATCTAACAGCAGGGACCATCTTGAACAAACCCATGACATAGGCACATGTGGGTATAGTATCTGCAAGGTGGGTAACATATGCTCAAGAATCATCAAACATAAACCACAAAAGGTGGTTTAGAAAGGCACGGGAAGACACTGTGTATATTACAAAGAATCAGCTGCATACATAGGAGAGTAAAGCTGTGACAGCTAAAGTTAAAAAACCAGACACTCTTGACCCAGGGCCAGCCAGCCTGATGGGGCTGTGAGGTCTCCACACAGGGGCTGGGTCAGGGGCTACCTTCTCCACTTGCCATGAACTGTTTTACTTCTCCCAAACTTAAGGAAAAACAAGTCTCCCCTCTTTTTCGTGCAACTAGATTATCTTAGAAAGGCAGACTTTGTTGAAACCCTGTCATGAAAGGGTTTAGAGTACTCATTTTGCCCAACTTCTGCCTTGAATAGATAAGGGGACCCAGGCCCAGAGACAAAGGACAATGCTATTCATGGGCCAACCAGATCCAGCTTCTTCATAACTGGTCCAGTACTAGGTTTTGTCCAGTTTTGCATTTTTCTAGGTAAGACTTAGTCTGACTGTCCTACTGGTAAGCTCTCTGAGAAGGTTTTGGTGCCAAGCTGCTTGCATTCAAATCCTGGCACCCAATGCATCATCTCTGGCAAGTTATTAGCCTTTCTGCCTTGGTTTCCCCATCTACAGAAGTGGGACTAGAGCAGCACTTTGCTAGCATTATTGTGAAGATCCCACAGGTTAGCATAAGTGATGTGCCCCAAGCATATCCAGCACAAAGCAATACTGGCTGCTGGTATCATTTGGGCATCAGAAGACTAGTCCTTATTACTGACTTAACTACATCTTCTACATTTCTAGCACATAGAAAGGGCTCAGAAATACTTGATTTAGTGTTTAATACAAAAAGTCACTTAGAATTTATATCCTAAGGGATATAAATGTCCTCAGAAATTGCTATCAAGATGCCTTTAATCTCTTCCAGATTGTGACACAGAGATTGATCCATGACTTGGCAAACTTCATGCCAGGGACTCTGCAGCATTAAAAGTAACATAGCAGTAGGGATTCCACCTCTAGGACTCGCCATCTAATCCATAAAGAATGTAGTCACAGAACTGTGTAAAGGAGGCTGGTCATTCTAAACAATGTAGGCAACTTTAGGAAAAATGAAAAAAAATATTCTAATAGTGATGCTGTGCTGGCTCTTTTCAAACATCTTGACAATAACTGAAAAGTCCAGCACAGGTTAGAATTAAAATGTTTTGTCAGGTTTACAGCAAGATAGTGAACTAAGTGCTACATACTGCTAATGAAATAAGAATTTCAAGTTGGTATATTTCAGGTAAAATCACAGAAAAGTAGAGACTGGTTTTGTTTCAGAGATGTCTTTGAAGATCCCAGCTAATCAATGATCCAGAAAATTACCAAGTAGGGACCTCTCAGTGTGGCCCTTCCAGGGTACAGCCACAGCTGAGCATCAAAATAACAACGAAGAGCTTTTCAGATCCACATGAGGGTGGTTTTCTGTGGAAATGTAAGGGACACAAAAACCTGGAACACTCCTCACATGACAGAGGTGGCATCAGAAACATCTGATTTCCTAGGCACTCAGCTATAGTGCTGCTATGTGATACAACCCTTGCAGCTGGGACCAGATGCTGAATCCCACAGTTCAAACACACCCACAACTCTCCTCCTCCTGTGACCCTGCTCCCCTTTCCATCCTACTTTGTGCCTAAGAGATAACTGGCGATCCTGAACAACAAATTATATCACTTTGAGATTCTGCAGTGTTTCAAAAGAAACCTCATGCTCAAAGAATTTGGTATCTTGGAGTTGTAATACAGTCTGCTGTCTGAAAAGTGAGACTATTTTCTGTGAGGGACCTGCAAGTTCTTCCATATACCCACACCCACCACAGCCTATCAGGCTCAGGCTCGCCGTCCTCAGGAACCTTTCCTAACCCTCAGAGCCCACAGCAACATCCCACCAAGCTGCTGATGGTTTAGAACATGGCAGTGTGGATAAATGAATGGCATGGGTCACACACTGCCATGAACTGTCCTGTCCTCAAATGGACTGCAGCTTCGGAGAACAAGATCATGTCTCCGCCACCCAGACAGAATCCCATTCCTCCCATTAGTACAGGTCAGAACTGACTCCTGACAAAGAGGCCCACAGAGAAGAAAATCTGCTCACCTCTGTCAGTGTTTTCTTTGCTTCTTTATATCTGGTTTGAAGGTTGGTATGACTTGCTTGCAGCTGTGAATGAAAGATAAAAGATATCTACTCTTATTTGATCCTTACAGCAACACAGGTGTGGACGGTAGTCCCATTTCACAGATGAGAAGAGGGAAGCTCGGATTTAAAGATTAAAACAGAGCAAAAGTAAAACTTTTAGAAAAGCTGCCAACAACAAATGAAGATACTTGTTTAATTAGCACCAAGTACATGTCAACCATGTACCAGGTATTTACTCCTACATTGTCCTTCTAGTTATTAGTTTTCATGACTGAAGAATGATTATGTCTAACAAGGCCTGCCAAGAAGCCAATTCAAGCAGACATCAGAAGTGATGAAGGAGGAAGGCATGTGGACACTGGGGTCTCCCTCACTGGGTGGAAGTTTGAGGTGTATTTTAAAACAACAGTTAAGAGAAGACTTCAAACATTCACGATGCAAGCTGATGGTAGATGTCTGAGATGGCGGGTGTGTTTATTGCCTTGATTTGATCATTATACATTGGATTCCTGTACTGGAGGGCCACATCTTCTAAAACCCCTCACTCAGATGTGATCCTGGGCAAGTCCTTCCTTCTCTAACTCACCCAGCTGGCCTAGTTTCACAGTCCAGGATTACTGTACACACTGGCCATCTTTAATAAACACTAACCACAACAATAATGAACAGTGTCCTTTACTGAGAGCCTGCTGTATGCTAGGCTGTTTTCCTGAAAAAATAATCAGCTCTTGGTAAAACACAGCTTCTGAGTTAATTACAAGACAGACCCAAGAGTCAGGGAAGAGTACCCTTTTAGTTGGACTGAGGATATGACAGACTGCTACCTGGAACGAAGTTTAGTGTTCCTCTCCTCAGGTTTAGATGGAAGAAGAAGTAAACATCAGCATGTGCTGAGATGCTCTGGCTTCTGGGATCTGCAAGAACCTCGATAACGCTCTGAAGATATTACTATAAAGAAGCCTTATCCTTGATTCCTGCTCACCCCGATTCTGTGATAAGTTCTTTTTTTTCCTTTTAAAATAATGAGTTCTTTTTGAAACAGTCACTTTCACATTCTTATCACCAGCAGGGGTCAGGAGCAGAGACCATACTCTCTGAGCTGAGAACTCATTAAAATGACTAAACAAATTACTGAACTGAAACCAAGTCAGAGTAACTCTTTGCATCCTTCTTTTCTTATGATCCAGAGCATTTCAGTAAAACATATTGTTTGTGCAGCTATGCTAGAACAAATTCTAACAAAACAATTCAAACAAAAAGAAGTGCTTTCACAGGACCATTTAATATGTTAATATCTTTTGAATATGTGGGACTTGAAAGAATTAAAAATGCACAAACTCGAGATGCCAACTGGCACCCAGTTTTGGAAAATCAACTGTCACAGGAACTACTGGTGAATTGCTTTTAGAAAACCGTATTCATTTCTATTATCTTCTGTTATGTGTATTTTTCTAATTAAATCTTATTGCCAATGCAACTGAAGCATATAATAACTTTTTATCATCCAGTGACTGTTCTTGAGTCAAGCTCCCCACCTTTCTCCTGTGTCTCCTTTGTAGGAAAAAAAAAGATCTTTCAAAAAATAGTCCTATCAATCACAAAACATTACAGAATACCATCTCCTATGGCTCTCTCAAAAATAATCCAGTTTCCTGAATTTTCTTGCCGTTAGCCATCAGTGACTCATGCCTGGACCACTACATCAGCCTGTTAATGGCTCTCCTTGAATCCCATCTCACCCAAATCCTATTCATCATGCTTCCACAGCAAACAGAATGGTCTATGAAACATGAAAATCTGTCCTGCTATTCCTCTGCTTATACTCTGTAGTGGCTTCTACTCTCCTGCAAGGCCCTGTTAGCTCAGATTCTCTTGAGCAACTGCCTTACTCACGATTCTCTACACACAAAATGGAAATTGACCAAGACTCTCTCTACCTAGTCTTCATTGATGTTGTTCCCTGAGTCCCTGCCCAAGCCCTCTACACTTTCCACACAAACTTCCTGCCCAGCAACATCCACTCATCCTTCCAGCCTCAGTCCTCCATGACCTGAGGCTAGGTCAGGGTTCCCTGTCAATCACTCTCTCTAGCTTCCTAGACTTCACGTTCAATCATTTTCACAGCTATATTTAAATGAGGATAAGTGTGACATATTTGTTTGCTGTATGTCTCTCCACTTGATCTTAAGATCCTTGAGAATAGGGCTCATAATTTGCTCTTCGTTCATCCCCAAAGCTTAGTGCAGTGTCTAGCACACAGCAATGCTCAGTAAATATTTGAGAACTGATGCTATTCTTGCCCTGATATTCTTCTACAACACAGAAAGGCAAACTCTTTTCTGTGAAGGGCCAGATAGTATATATTTTAGGTTTTGTAGGTCTGCTCCAACTACTCAACTCTGCCATTGTAGCTTCACAGCAGTCACAGAAAATACACAAACAAATGGGTGTACATATGTCCCAATAAAATTTCATTTACAAAAACAGGTGATGGCTGGAATGGCATGAGGGATGCAGTATAATAAAAACTCCTGGAATCTTCGACAATCTACCACTAAGATCTTAACTCCTTCCCTAATTCTTCCTTTCTTTGAAGGCTGGTTTTATTTTACTTGATTGAAATCATAAATAGAAAACACCAACCTCTTCCAGATGTTTGGTCTTCTGCAGAATCTGCTTGTTTAAGGACATGACTTTCCGACGATGTAGTTGAGAGGTTCCTAATTTTTCTGGACTTTCTTCAGCTGATAGCTCGGATTGCTATGGAGAAAAAGGAAGGCCAAACCCATAGAATTTAATTAGTTCACTTCAGTTCATATAAGCCATGCCTGTTCAGTCTGGGCAGAAGCTACTGTACAGCCAGTTACACTGAGCCAGGGTATCAACAGGGCCCTGTTCAAAACTCCAGCACAGATAAAGGGATTCTGAAACAATGACCAAAATTCCTACCAAGGGTATCTGGATTCCTGGCAGAGGGAAAAGCATGTGCAAAAGCGAAGGGGTCCATAATTGGTTATGTTAACATTATACAGGCAATAGGATGTCATCAAAGGCTCTCACAGGGAATACCAAAGCTATAGAAGTATCTTTATAAGACCATTTTGGAGTTGTCAAGAATGACAAATTGATTTATTTCCATCTAAGTATTATAAGCATGCAAGTATCACAGTTTAAAAGCACTTACAATAAAAAGCACATCTTCTAACCCATTTTTCCCCTTTCACAGATCCACTCACTTTTAACCATTTCCTATTTTTAATGTTCTGGGTGTTAACAGAGGATAGATATGAGGGATAAAAGTCGCAGGAAAAAGGCAGCTGCAGCAGCACAGAGGGCAATGGAATGCTCCATGATGCTGAGACCACATGGGAAGGCCTTGGGTTCATGTTCTGAAGTCTCCCTGCTCATGCTGGGCATGTATATGCCCATGATCCTGGCTGATTGAAGCTAGAAGTAGGATTGCTACATGAAGAGCCTGTTAGGGGTGCACGTTTCTCTTTCTCTCTGTCTCACTTTCTCATAAAGGAAGTAAATAAATACACTTTGGGAGATAAAAGTTAGGGATGTCAGGCAGGAAACTCGTGAAATTATATCAGTTAAGTGAAGAACAAATGAAGAAGGATTGGATGGGATATGGAGACGATCAGGACTGGAAGTGGGTAAGATACTTTATTTATTTATTTTAGAGGTTTTTGCTATGGCGCACATGCATTTTTCAGAGACAGAGAGACAGAAAGTGAGAAATCACCCCCGGGGGGATGGCCACGCCATAATCCCTTCTCCTCCAGTCTCCTCTTGGGATCTTGGGCGGGCACGCACACACGTGCACCCAATGTGATTTTAAGCCTCTGGGTCAAGGACTCGAACTGCAGTTGACCACATGGGAGTCTAGCGACATAGTCATTATGCCAACTGCTGGTTCCTGGATAAGAGACTTCTAAATGAGGTGATCAGATAAATATAAAAATATTTCCCAGGCAAGGGAAGGACCATTACAGAGAACCACACAAAGAAGAAAGGTTTGGTGTAGATACTAACTACAAAAACTTGCCTCAAGACACCTGTGAAAAGTCTCAGGAAAAAGAAGTCAGGTCAAACTTTAATTGTTGTCTTTAAAACAGTTGGGGGGGGGGGGGTTGGGGGGCGGTGCCACACAGGTAGTGCCACTACTCAGGAGGTTGGAAACTGCATGGGAGGCCCAGGTTCTGTTTGTGGACCAACCTGAGCATTTCAGGCACAGTTGCGTGTGCTGTAATCCTAGCTAATTGGGTAGCTGGGGCAGGAGGATTATATTCCGTGACACTTTGTCAAAAGTGCCTAGTTCATTCTCTTACCCTGTTTTCTCTCTTTCTCAAAGGAAAAAAAAATACATATACTCAGATACTTCTAGGAGGACTACAGGTAGCTTCATTAAACAAACACCCATTAAAACATTTCCTTTCTTACAGTAAGTATCTCAATGCCAAACTAATCACTGAGTTTTATTTTTTTAATTTTGTGATAAGAATACATGTACTCACTGGAGAGAGACAGAGACAGGGAGAATGAGATATCATCCCTGGGGAGATGGCCGTGTGCAACCTCTTCCCTCCCATTCTTCTACTAAGATTTTGGGTAAGCATGCATATGTGCCTGCCATGATTTTCAAGACACTAGGTTCAAGACTTGAACCATGGTCAGCCATGTCAGAGTCCAGAGCCTTAAACAATGATTTTAAGCCCAAGTGCAACTAAACTATTTGGGTATTTGACTCTCCCTATGTGTCTGAACAGAAACCATGAATTTAAAATCTGAAAAATTTACATATGAGGAAAAGAAGGAAAAGTGAAGAGGAGTAGAAATGCATGGTCATAATTACCATATATTTTGCTTAAGGATTTCTCAATAATTCAGCAGTATTATTACTGGATGATGAGTTTTTTGCTACTTAACACCACCAGTGGCAGGAAACTACCAGCAGCAAGGAACTTCATTTTCTGTCTCATGGGTTGGCCATAGAGGAAATAAGCTATGCTCTCTGTATTACAACATATCTAGCCTTGAAACCTGGGACTTTGGAAAATGCAAATGTCATTTAAGCTTGCCAGAATTTTCTGGGAATGGGAATTAACTTTTAAAAATTAATTTTGGATGTAACAAGATGTTCACAGCCTATAGACTGAGGAAAGACAAACTGTTTGTGAAAGTTATTTGAGCATATAAAAAAAAAAAGGAGGAAGAAGAGCCAGATGGTTGTGCACTGGGAATGTATTGGACCCACAGAGGAAGGTCACGGTTCTCACAAGGCCCCTGAACATGCCAGACGTGTGTGTGCCTGCAATCCCAGCTGACGGAGGCTAGGGCGGACTGTAGCATGAAGACTCTGATGCAGGAGCTTCTCTCTATCTCATGGAATAAAAAAAGTTTTTCTAAAAGAAAGGAGAGGAAAACTATCCCCTCTCTATTTCTAAATCTCTTAACAGAAACAGAATTACAATTAACTAATTATATCTAGACCTTCACTCTAATTAACACATTACCCTGAACCATATTAATTTGGTCATTTTTGTATGCTACCTACCTAATCATTCTTTTTATGATAACGCATGTGCATACATGAGAGAGAGAAAGTGCCCTCAAAAGGGTCTTATCGAAGGCCATCCTCTTCCTCCTTCCTCAGTCCTTCAGCTCCATACGTGGACCTGCAATGTTTCTAGCTGACTCAGGATCTGACCTCACAGCTGGCCATGTGGTTTCAGCACTGCAGTACAGTACGCTATGGACTATGCCACCTACGTGGGACCAATTTTAGTATTTTTTTATCATTTCAGGTTTAAGTCTTAACATCCAACTTTAACACCCGTCCATGACATTGACTTCAATGGCCTATCATTAGAGTAATCTCCTTTACCAGCAGAATCACATAAGCCTCTATTTCATGATGTTCTGACACCTGAAACAGAATGAATTTCCTATTAACTGGAACTTCCCCACAAGGTTATGTTTCTAGGTCTATCGTCAGCAATTTTCTTAGGAAACCTGACTGCCTCCAGCTGCCTGCATGGCTTCCAGACAAAGGGGTAGGCAGGCAGGCTCCAGGGGTCCATGCAACTCTCACTCTGACGTCCTCTGGTCTATGGAGCTAAGTGCACACTCATGTAATTCCGTTTTGCAGCTCTGGCATGAGTTGGATGACGTCTCTAACTCTTAGCAGGTTTTCCTGAAGCAACTACTTTTATGGCAAAAATCTCAAGAGAATAAAAACTCTTCCTCACCCAGCTTCCCTCCTTTCTCATTAGTGTGTATAGCACACATAAAGTTTTGCTTTTAAAGTATGAACTTTCAAACATCACTTGGACTCTCTATGCAGGAAAGCTTTGATGGCAAGTAGCCATACTGGTTGGCTATGTGTCTATTTATCTATCCAAATCTGGATTTTTGGCCATATGGCCCCTCAAGACTCTTTCAAGGAATCTGTGAAGTCAGTCTCCTTTCATAGTAATACTAAGATTTTTTTAAATGTTTTCACTCTCATTCTCTTTTGTAGAACTTTCATTCTACGGTAAAAATTTCCAGATGTCACATGTTGTGATATCCTTGCCCTGATGTTAATATGTAATGCATTTATTATTGTTATTTGAAAATAAATTAATGTATAAGCTATTAGGTCCTCTGTAATTTTTAAACCCTTAAAGGGGTTTTGAAGCTAAAAGTGTTGAGAACCACTACTTTATTCTAAGGAGTGTGGCTCACCTGGGAATATACCCATTGACTGGGAATCTGCTGATTGACCAAAACTCAGGAATCCACTCACTGACTAGGATAGCCAAAAAAGTGGACCCACCAGGTAGACGGCTATCACTTATGTAACACTAATAAGGGAAAGTTCTTTCCTTCTGATTCTATTCTTTTATGGGATGACTCAGAGAGCCATACAAATAAAGAGAAAACTCTTGCAATGCACAGAGGTAGACGTATATCACTTATGTAACACTAATAAGAGAAAGTTCTCTCCTGATTCTATTCTTTTATGGGATGACTCAGAGAGCCATACAAATAAAGAGAAAACTCTTGCAATGCACAGAAAGAAACCTGAAACCTCCATACAAAACTCTATCATATCTCTTTTGTGATAGTATGCATTTTAAGCAAACATAGGCTTTCAAAATACTTTTTGTTATGCTAGGTAATGATTTTAATTGCTCTGTGGAGTCCCTTACTTTGCATTTTTAAAGTACTAATACATAGTTAGCGTAATGGTTATGTCTTTGGACTCCCACGTAGTTGACCATGGTTCGTGTCCCAGACCCGGTGGCTTAGAACTCACACCGGGCGCATGTGCGTGCGTGCCCAAGATCCCAAGAGGAGAATGGAGGAGAAGGGACTGCGGCGTGACCATCCCCCCTGGGGGGTGATTTCTCGCTTTCTGTCTCTGTGTTTCTCTCTGTCTGTCTGGCGAGTGTACGCGCCCAATAGCGTAAAACCTCTCCAAAAAAAGTACTAATACACCAATATCAGGATGCTAATCATCACTTCCATATTTGACTTTTTTTCTAGTTCAATTAAAATGACTAATATTAAAAAATATAGGCCCACAGTATATAAAAATGTTTGAATTTCTCCATTTGCATTTGAGTCTAGAGATGGTGCTGCTCTACTTAGTGGGAAGTTATTTCTGGACAGATATAATAGTTTATTACATAACTAAACTAAAGAGAAATCTTAACCTAGTGAATGTAAAGCTAATCACTCTATTTTTCAAATATACTTTTAATTAAGCA